AAATAAGGACTAAAAGGATTAATAACTAATAAATGATACTTTGAAACTGGAAAAGTTCCAAAGGGGTAGGGGTGGTGGGAGGGGAAGGGGAAAGGAAAGAATGGAAAGGAAAAATTATGAGAAAAGAAAAAAAAGGAAACAAAGTCTATGTAAATAGGGAAGGGTTTAGGGGTGAAGGGCACACAGGTAATGGGGAAAAAATAAGAACCAAGATACATCATGTACAGGTACAAGCACCCAAAGATAAATCTAAATGTATTGTATACCTAAAATGTACCAATAAAAGAATTTAAGAAAAAAAAGCCACCTAAAAAAAAAATATATATATTTTGGTACCAGGGATCAAACTCGGGTCCTTGCGCTTGCGCAGCAGGCGGCGAAACCACTGAGCTAAATCCCCGGCCTAAAAAGTATATTCTTAAAATTCAAATTCTTAAATTGCATTTGCCCCCAAAATAGTAAATCTAATGATTTAAGGGGAAAAATATTTATTTCTCAGAACTTGAAGTTTATGATTACCTATGTACATAAATGCCACTGATTCCAAAACCGTGAAGTACATTATAGTTCATGGTATATGAAAAATTATAGCTACTAATGACAAAAATTAAGTGTACAAATATTTCTGATTTATACGATGCCTCTGACGACATCTTAATGACTATTTTCCTGTTCGGTTTTATTTTGTATGTGTTTTCCTTTCCTAATGCCCCAGTAGAAAATGGAAATATAGAAGCAGAAGGCTCAGCAAGTTAGTAGTCTTGGAATGGGCTGGGACGAAGACCCGAGAGCACACGCCTTCATCTCAAGAAACTCCACACAAATCCTTTGTTACTGTTCATTCCTATCATTCAAATATTGTTTCCCTATCACATGACAAGCAGTGGACATAAAGGGATAAAACCAGAAGGCACAAAGATGTCCAGAAGACTCTTGGTTCTGAGATCCTTTAACGTAGCCTACAAAGCTCTGTCTACTGTAGCTGCTGCTGGAGTTACCTGGTGCAGCCCTCATTCTTGTTCTCTGGCTTCTGCACTCCACATGCACTATTATTCTTTTTATTATGGGATTGTGTTCTGCCTTTCCTGCCAGAATATAAATTTCATAAAAATACATTGTTATCTTGTTCATCATGATTTCCCCAGCATCTTCCTTCCTACATGGTAACCTAGATGATTATCTGCAGAAGTGGTCTCTAATATTTTTCCTATAAACTTCTATGATATTACATGCATTTTGAAATATTTACATTTGTGGAAATATTTTAAGAGAAGACATAAAGTTTCCAATAATTTTTTTCCTCATGTTCAACTTATCAACCTGCACTGACTCATCTGGGAAGACTACATGTTGTTAATAGCTCCACTATAGCCAAATTTAGTAGTTTCTTCCTAAATACCTTAGGCCCTTGTACAAGTGCCTGTGTCCCACTAAAACATACTGATCCTGATTGAGCCTGGGGCCTCATCCTCTATGACTCACTAGCTGATGTCAATTTATTTAAAACGTATTTACTCAGGAGTCACTATTTAATACATACTAGGGACTACATGGGAAAAATTTTCCTCCTTACATTTCCAATAACATCCAAGAGCATTAGTGTACTTTTTGAGAAAATGAATGACTATATAGGATGACTGGACTAGAGTATCCCTCACCTCTGGAGGTGAGGTTCCTGGTACCCCAAATCAGGCAAGCCACAAAGCCAGTATTTTCTCTGGCCAATGTGTCTGTCTGCTCATACCTTCTATGGCTCATACTGGCATTTATTGTCACTGGTTTAAGCTTGAGCAGAGGATAAGGAAGAAGGGTAATGTGAGAAATAAGGGTAAAAAATGCTCAAGATCAACATGAAGTCAAGAGTGCTTCCTGTGTGTGAAGGCCATCAGACTATTTAGCAAGATGAACTCACCACAAAAGCCAAAAACACTTGGATATATGAACCATTTACCCTGCTGCACCTACTCTTGTCTTCCAAACTTTCTACTGCAATACAGCCAGATTCTACCTTACATTCCTATTATCTCTCACATCTAGAAAGCAAAGCCATTTTAGAAATCCTGAACCTTTGACAGGAACGAAGTCAATATTTTTTTGCAAAGTCAATATTTTGGTAAAACATAAAAAATGTGTGAACAAAAATCAGCATGGTAATGTTCTTCAAATGGATTGAATTTAGAGATTAAATCTGAGGGTAAAATTAGTTTAGGACAGGATGAGGGCCATAGAACCAACCACCAGCCAACCCAACTTAGAAGCACAGGGGAGGAACAAGGTGAGAAGCAGAAGGAAAGTGTGTCTTCTCACACATGAGGTAGAGAAACAAATGTAAATACTTGTAAAAATGAAAGAGAAAAGAAAAAAATATACATTACTAAAACTGATCTGAGAATGAAAGCCACAGGAAAAAACAGAATGTTATCAAAAATCTTCCTCACAAAAAAGCACATGTACAGATGATGCCACATATGAGCTCTAAAAGTGTCAAGGAACAAACTCAATTCTTTAAAATTTTCCAATACACATGGACAGAACACAAACTAATCTATTTTTTTTCAAATTCTGCATAATAGTGCTACAAAAGGCTGATAAATGTAACACGAAAACTATAGTCTACTCTGCCTCATGAATATTAATACAAAATATTCTATTTTTAAAATGCAGGTAAAATAGAAGCCAGAATCACTCTAAAAGAATACCGTGTCACTCATCATGCCAGAGTGATCCAATATTAAGATATTTATCAATGCAATTTAATGATAAAATGATAAAATTGTATTTGACTATAAAAACATGGAAAGAATGAAGAATTTAAATTTTTAACATGATATAAATACATGGAAACTCTACTGAATGCTAAAATTAATGTATCTCAGGACAAACTTTAGCCATTCTGAATGGTAAGGTAATATATGTAAAACATTTGGCAGAGTTTCCGGAATATAACTAGTACCATGCATGTGTTACACATTATTTACCATTGTTATCATCACTAATATTTAACACTTGTTCAGAAATACTAATTAAATTAGTCAAGAAAAAGAAATAAAGAGACATAAAAACTGGAATAGAAAGTGTACCTAAGCATTTTAGAATATGATTTCACATTCATAAGTCCCAAGAAAATTGGGTGAAAATTTAAAAAATAGTAATAGAATTCAGAAATGCATGTGGTTATATAATTAGATCAATATCAATAGGCTTTTTATAAAGAAAATGAGCAATTATAAACATAAGAAAGGCTATTTTTCAATGTCCACAAAATGATAAAATACATGGATATGAAATCAGCAAGAGACACTCTGGATGAAGAAAACTTTCAAACACTAAAGGAAAATATATAGGACAATGAAAAAATAGAAAGACATTTTATTGTTGGATAAAAAGGCTCAAAATTGTAAAGATTCAGTTTCCTCATGAGTTAAGTTGGACAGGTTGACCCTTAAATTCATGTATAAAATAAACTGCCATTTAAAAGGGAAGAGCAAAAGAGTACTGTGAGGGAACTTGCAGTACCAAATAATAAAACATCATATCACAAATTAAGAGAACATTGTAAATAACAAATCTGAAATTTTAGATCAATGATGTTAGGATAATTACTCAGCAATCCAATGGGGGGAAAAAAACTATCTCCCTACATGAGGGAAAATTCCAAGTGGATCAAAGATTTTAATTTGTATTTTTGTACTAAAACTGTAGATAAGCTGCAAAAAGTATTTGGCCCATGGAGTTGTGCAGAAGCCAAAATTATGTGTGCTCTCCAAGACCAAGGTCTCAGTAACTAGCTGCTCATGATTTCTACCCTAGTATTTACCCAGGTTGACTTGAAATGTTCTAAATATGCTTCTACTACAGTACTTCCTACCATGGGATTGAGTACCATTTTCTCCCCACTCCTGGGTTATATTTCACTCAGTGGGGGAAAAAAGAAATCATACAAATGACAGTGAAAATTTCCTAAAAGCAAAGGCAGTGATTTGCCTGCTCTTGTGTCGCAGGTGTTCATTCTTTGTGGTCTGATCCCCAAATTTCACCCTCATGGAGAAGGGCCTCAGGATTCTAGACCTTCACCCATTCCTCTAGTCCTGTCCTCCCTTCCCCACATTACCATCATCTTCTGACCTCTACTGATTCCTCTCTTCTCTCCTCCTTCCCTGACATCCCCTGAAGCACCTCTAAAGTGGCTGTGTTCTATGAATTTGTTCTTTTTAAACAAAATTTCAGGCCACTAAATATTTTGCAGCTGTTCTAATTACACCAAGAAATCTGCAATTCTAGAATGTCAGTTTGAGAAAGAAAACATTAGTAACGGACATAAAGTTTCAGGTCTCACTGTCTACCAATCTATAAGGTGCTAAAATGTGATCGATTGACCCAATCATATAAAAATGTGTACATATGAATTAAAGTAGAAGGAAATGTGAATCTAATTGTTATCTCAGCACGGAACCATGGTTATGTTTTCTCCAATTTTTTAGTGTTTTGTAGCAAATATAAATTTTATGTTCCAATTTTTAAAATCTATTCATTGTAAACAAATGAAAAATGCAAAGTTAAAGAAATCCATGCTCTTTCCTACCATCCCAGGAAAGTTATTATGTTCTTTCTCTTTTCTGTACCATTTTATTTACATCCACAAATTTCATAAAGTGTGATGTTTTATAAACTACTTTTCTCATCAAGCTTTAGATGTTAATCAGCCCATCACTTCAAATTCCTCAAGAATATTTTATTGGCTACAAGATAATCCAAAGAAGGGCTATTTCATAACTTTTTTTACTTCAGTACAGTTGGACATTTACAGATTATAACAGATTTTAAGACAAATGCTGTAACAGCAAAAATAGCATTTCTGACCACTTACTTGGGGTAGAGTTTTGCAAACAGAATTACTAGTTCAAACAAAAACATTTCATATTTGGATATATATTTCTAGAACTGGCTTTAGCGATCTTATTACTCCACATTAAGCATAAACTATAATTTACACTTCTCACCTTTAGAATTCTTTTCTTCGTAGGAATAACAGGAGAGCCAGATCATATAAATTAAGTCTTCAGAAAACACCAGTGGGGTATTTCAAGAGACTAGCTCACTGGTTTATATATATAAAAAAGATGCATTCTCATCTTTTCTGACCCACTCTAAGAAGCCTTAGTCACAAAGCTAAATAAGAAAACCCACTAGTGAGAAGAAACGCAAAACTCTCCAGAACTCCCTAATTTAAGGAGTATTTAAACCTGTAGTTTTAAACTGTAATGCCAGTAAGAATCACCTGGGGGCTTATTGAAACCAGCTGATCCCCAGGAGTTCTCAATTCCATAGATTAGACTCAGGGCTCTAGAATTTGTTACTCAAAGTCTGATGCTGCTGATTTGGGGATGGTACCTTTGAAATCCCTAAACAATTATATTGGTTACTTTTTATGTCCCAAATACAGTCCCAGGTGCAAAGAGATAGTAAACCAATTCCTACCATCATGGAGTTTATATTCTAATAAACATACAACAGAATAAAGCAGCAGAACTTTTGGATGATAAGTATTAAATTCTCCCAAGAGTTCTCTGGGATGGAAGACCATAGAGCCACAAACTGGCACCTCCTGATACAAAGCACTCAGCTGCTCATTCTTTATCTGGGACTTTTTCCTCCCACCAGTATAGGATCAGAGTCAGCAGGAGAAAATAAACTACTTGTTAGTCTTCAGTGATTCCCTTCTCCAACAAAGCAAAAGGCCAGCTGTAGGCCGAAAGCCCAGCAGTTAGAAAATAAAAGGAAGAACAATTTCTCCTGCTTACAGGTCTGGAAAGTACACAGATATACTTTTAAGTACCAGCTGGGAAAAATAGGTCTTTTTCTATCAGAAAATTTAATTCTCACTGCTGCTCTTACATAAGGCCTAATTATCCATAAAGAGAATGTACTGATCAATAAAATGAAATTACATATACAAACCACTTCACTTATCAGAATCAATGGAAATGGAATGACTCGTGATAAAACTGCTGCAAACAAAAGGGAAATACAATATCCAAATGTTACTGCACACCACTTACCTATTTCACATTTACAAAATGCCTTCTTCACAAATGTACTTGCTATTAGTATGAGAGAACTTTAGAAAGCAGTAATTATTCATGATTGCCTTGAAGATCTCACTGGGAAGCAAAATGTCCTGTCCCTTTTTCATTGTAGAAGCACCTACAAAGTAAGACTGGGTAAGTGGCCTTTGGTGTAAACAGCTAAATAAGCTCCTAAGCTTTTACATGCTGCTTACCATTTGGTCCAGGGCCTAAGAGAGTTCATTTTCACAGTTTAATTTTAGAGATGGCCTTCAAAAATATTTTAAACATGATTCAGAGTAAAATACACAATTTATGTGGTGAACCAGTGTATCCAAACATATATCCGAAAGAAAATTTTACAGACTATACTCACAACAGCTGAAGCACGCTGACATTTTATTCTATTTCTTTCATTTTTAATGCCAACACACCCCACTACATTTAATTTTTGCCTAATAGGTTGCAATCCAGTTTGAAAATCTCTGTTCTAAGGTAGATATGAAATCCTCTGATGGCACTCCCAGTCCCATTAAATATCAGTTTCCAAGTACCCAATCACTTCCTACTGTCCACATCTCCTCAGACACAACATTGTACCTGTAAATATGTGAATCACTATTTAGAAATCAGAATTCTCTGAGATTTGAATCATAAAATAAGAGTGTATTCAAGTATAAGGACCTTACAGAAATTATCCCTTAACTTGTCTTATGTTTTAAATTCTATGCCTTCTATAGGGTTCAAAAATACCTTTTGATTTGCAAACACTTCCAAACTCTTTAATCATCTAGAAAAAGACTTCCTCTACCTACAACTATAGTAATATCAGTGAAAAAAACCTAATTAATGGCCTCAGAAATCCACATAATTGATACACCTCTATTATGGAGTAAATTATAACTCTTTTGGGTTGAGATGCAAGAACTCTTCTGGATTTTCAAAGTGTAGTTAAATTTATGTGACCTGAGTGAGACATATGGTCCCTGAAAAATCTGCCTTACTGGGTTTTGTATCTTTATACCATTAATAGAATCAGACTTATTCTGTTGGTCTCAAAACATTATTTGAAGCACAGCACTGTATAATCTAGGTCATCTTTTGAGAAATTTTTGACAACCCATTTAAACTATGATGGAAAGAAGAGTAAACAGCAAAAGCAGATTTTTCAGCAGTCTTGAAGCAAAAGCCTTCTCAACCTGTGCAATATTATTAACCGAATATGGCCCATCTTGATCTTTCAAATGATGAAAATCAAAGAGGAACATTAAAGTACATTAACTCATTGCAAGCTTCAGAAGGCTTATTGGTTACCCCAGAGAACAAGACAGTCTATCTAAGTGTATCATATTAATGTTTCCTTTTTAAGAGCCATGAGTCCCCAAGATTGTTTTTCAGAAGCATTTTTTCTCTGACTCCATGCTTGCTACTCTACTTAGGAACTTAGCACATTGAACACCTTCACCTCCATGAGTTTATTGAACTGGAACTTGTAAGCAACATCAGTGATATCAATGGTTTTAACCATCTGTCACCTCTAAGAATTTTCAACATTTTTTTACATTAATTGATTCATTTCAATTCAAAGAGTCATCGAAGGTCTTGGGTGCAAATGAGCACACATCCACACTTGGATGTTTAATATGCATGCCACATTAGGTTGTTCAAGCCTGAGCTCCCATCACTTCATTACACCACCTGCCTATTATGGTTTAGACCTGGAGTGCTGCCCAAAAGCCATGTGTATTTGGAAGATGATTGGATCATGGGGGTGCTATACTCATCAGTAGATAAGTCCACTGATGAGTTCATAACTGACTTGCTGTTAGGAAATGGGCCTGGTGAGAGTCAGGTCAATGAGAACATGACTGGAAGTATCTCCTTTCCTAGGTCCTCCCTTAGCTGTTTCCTGCCCACCATGATATATGAGCAGTTTTCATCTGATAGACCCTTCCACCATGCCATTTCTGGCTTGGAGTCAGTTGACCATGAACTGAAAATGTGAGCCAAAATAAACCCCTCCTCCTTTAAACTGTGGATGTCAGGTATTTATCCCAGTGATGAGTGAGTAAGACACTGCCCTTCCTACACTTCTCACCACAGCACAGAACAGTTGTATTCTTTCAAATGCTCAGGCTAAATACTAAATATGTAGGAATCCTCTACTCCTTTCCTCATCTCATATCCTATACCCAACCCATAAGTAAAACCTTTTGACAACATTTACTCTACTTGTATATGAAGAATCTGGCTGCTACACATCACTTCTACTTCACTTTGGTCCAAGCCACTATATCTCACCTGGATTATTGCACAACCCCTGAATAGTCTCTCTGCATTCTTTACTGATCTTTTATTTTCAGCACAGCATCCTGAATGATCCTATTAAAATGTAGGCCAACTTTTGTTACCTCAAAGCCTTCATTAGTCTTCTATATAACTCAGAGCAAAAGTAAAGTTTCCTACTGAAGTCTCTATGGCTCCATGTGATTTGTTTCCTGTCCCAACTTTGCCAGTATCATTCTCTACCACTCTGCCTTGCTTTTCTTGGCTTTAGCCATGGAAATGGCCTAATTACCTTTGCTTGAACACGCCTGGAACTCTCTGGCCTCTGAGCCCCTGCACTTGCTATGAAGCATTCCCACCTGCATCCCCATGTGTGTTTCACCCCCATGTTTCACTTCTTTCATTTTACAATTTTACTAAACCACACATTCCTAATGATTTTCCTCTATTTTCAATCTAAAAGTGCAACACACACATTTTCTATCATTTTCCTGCTATAACTATAGCATATCAGTAATTACTATGCCAAATGTTGTATTTTCCTTAATTATCTTCTCTTCTGAGTAACCTCTGGAAAGGCAAGGATTTTTGCTGCTTTATTTCATTGATAAATCCCCAGATCCTGAAACAATACCTGGCACTTAGTCAGTGCTTAATAAATATTTGTGGAATTGAAAATATTGATGTGTTATAGCCTTTGCACTTCCATCTCCATTCTGCACTTTTTTAGGGCCTGGGCTTGTAGTTTAAGGTTTCTTCTCTCTATCTCCCAGCAGGCCCAGCAGGTATCTGACATGGAGTATTCTCACCAAAATGGCCCTGTCTCCCTGCTCTCGTCCAGCCTCTCCTTCATCACTGCAGCAGGGCCACTGCCTGCCCCACTGCTGGCCATCGCTGTGTTTCTGGATGTTCCCATTCTCAAGGTCACTTCTCAGCTGATGTAAGGTCCACAGTGTTCTGGTTACCTCTGGACATCTGGACCGTGCTGTCCTTACAGCCCTAATCTCCCTAACACTTCTGGGCCCCGTATAGCTGCAAGGCTTTCCATTAATTTCTTCATCTAATCATATGGTCCAAAGAAAATACTTGTATGGAAAATTGTAAAATGGAAATATTTGGTATATATATATGTATATATGTGTATATATATATATACATATATATATATAATGTTAGAAGATTGGAGCTAATATATTCAAATCACTGAAATTGTTAGAGAAATGCTCAATAAATATTAGCTATTATTATGATCATCATTATCATTATTACTGTCCTCAGAATAACTCTTCTGGGAACCCTGGTCTGGGCCCATAGTCTGAGGCAGGGGAACATATTACAGAGGAACATAGTGCTATGACAGGGGAACATAGTGCTCCAGGAAAGAGCACTCTGAATTGCACCTTGGTCCTTATGAGTCCAATCACAGGAAAGTGAAGCCCATGGAAAGACAGGAATGATTCCTCTTCTGGATCTAAGGTACAGCTTCCTTATCAGGCCCTGAGATGGGCACCAGTACAAATAATCTCTCCCTTGAATGGCAGCTCTGTGCCTTAATCATACCATGGTGTCATGTGATCAAAACACACCGACCAACACCAGTAACAGGGAAGTCATTTCCTTCATCTCATTTTTCCTTAATAAAGAAAACAAGATATCAGTTCTGTGATGCTGAGCATGTATTGTGTCTTTCTCAACTATAAAAGAAGACAAAACTATATCTATCTCAAAGAGTTGTGTGAATTTTTAATGAATTAAAACATACCTAGTGCTTAGGACAGTACCTGGAAAATATTTTAAATGATTATCTAAGTTAATTTATTTTTTATTTATATTTTAGTACATTGTAGAAAGTCTAACACAAAGTATCAAGTGTCTCCATGTACCTTTACTGACCAAAGGAATTAATGGATGAAAGCACCAGTAAATAGATAAACCTATCTGAGAAAATTTCTTATTCAGGGTGTAAAAAGCTCCAATTATTAAAGAAAAATAACCTATGCAAACAAGGAGCAGTGGTGAAAATTAGGAAAGAATGGCTCATCTCAAAGAGCCAGGCTTTTCTTTGGGAGGTGGCAGACTACTGGCCTAGTGATGGATCAGATCCCTTAGCAGGCATCCATCACTTTCAATCCTGGGCTCTGCCAGAGGAAATGAGTCTCACACACATAAATTTAGTGACTGGCCAGATAGTCACGACTTGTGTTCCTTTTGCAATTTCCTGTTCTATACAGCCGCTTATGCAGATTGAACAAAATGCCACTGATACATCAATAACAAAATGAGACATGAAAATTGATAAAAAATAAAGCCTCATCCTGAATTTGTTCAGTCTAATTAGAGACATTCCATCAAGGAAAAGAGTTAATGAAAGAGAACTGCTACTTCAAATCTGATATTTAACGATATTGCAAAAGCCATCCTGAAGGCAAATGTATATAGAAATAGACAGGTAGATATAGATTTTATAACTGTAGACCTAAAAGAAACAAAAGAGAACAGAGAGAGAGAATCAGAACAAGTAATATTCTACCATTAAACATCTGGGTGGAGATGGGGGTATCAGATGCCACAACTGTGTTGGCAGAATACCCAATTCTTGGGAAGAAAATTTTCTCTTACTGTGGTGAGGAAATATTGAATTAAGTAGTAGGTATTTTGGTTTACTATATAGCTTATAAGGAAAGATCGTGAATATATTAAGCCCAGGGTTATTAAAGAAATACTATCAAGCAGTTTTATCCAAAGGTTTTAACTTGCCCTCCCAACTCGTCTACAATATGGGTGTTAAAATATTCTTACTTCACAGAGAAAACTGAGATACATGAAGTGACTCTCAATATCAAACCATCAATAAATGGTGGGGTTTGGCATTGGTACTCAGAAATTTCACCCTAAGGATGTATACTCTCCTTTCTGTCCTGTTTCCAGCATGTCAGTTTTTCCTATTCAATCCATGTTTTAGAACTTCATATCTGAATGTTCCTTCAACCTTCAATCAGTAACAATAAAAGAGGGGAAAGAAGGAACTGAAGGTAACTTACAGAACACAATATGGAGAACATCAGTCTGTTAGGAACTACACTAATCTTCACAGTTAATATTCTTTTCAGAAAGGACAAATGCTATCATTTGAATGCATATGTCACTCCAAAATTCATTAAATTGGAGCCAAAACCCAATGTGAGAGTATTAAGAGAGAGGGCTTTTGGGGAAGTGATAAAGTCGCAAGTATTCCACACTCACTGACCGGATTAGTGCTCTGACTGAGAGATGGAAAGAAGTGTACCAGCCCCTTTGCACTTCCATATTCCACTATGTGGGAGGACAGCAGTGAAGTGCCATCTTGGAAACAGATACAGGGCTTGCCACAGGCTCCCAATCTGCCACTATCTTATCTTAGATTTCCCAACCTCTAGACCCATGAAAACTAAATTTCCTTATAGGAAGAGACCCGAGCCCTTTATGAGGGTAGAAAAAAGCAGCTTCTGTGTGGCTGTAAGCAGCAAACAGTTTTCAAGCAGCGCTGTGGTCTGAAGCTGACAATGTGGCTTTGATGCCTGACTGTGCAGGCGAAACTGCCCCTCCTAGTGCAGGCTGCCATCCTGCCCCCATTCCCCTATTAGAGCACAAGACCAAATTCCTACAACAAGCCCAGTATCCAATCAACCAAGTGTCCACTCTGGGGGAGGTGGAACAGGGACCCTAATTCATAAAACAGTATTGCAGCCCCAGATTCAGCAGTGCTCCAGCTCTGGACACCCCACTCTGGCGTGGCTTTGTACAGCTTCCTCTTGCAATACCTGTAATAATGGACTTCTGCTTTGCACTGGTCTCTGACTCCTCTTCCTCTTCCTATATCAGAGAGACAAGCCCAGCAAGGGTGAGTGTGGGGACCCCTGGACCCCAGACCCACCAGACATAATACTGTCATCTATAAATTACTCTGTTTATGATTGTTACACCCAGTGAGAGAGAACCAACCAGAGACCGATATTAAATCCACACAGGAGTTTATTACCGGCTGGGACCTGAGCTGAGCATCAGACTCGAGCTCCGACTGGGGGTTGACAAACATGTTTTATACACCTTTGAGACCAACAGTTTCTAGACTCCCCTATGGGATAGAACTAGTAAAGCAAGCAAAAGGTACAGAAGCAGAACATCCTGCTGTTAGAACATTTGTAAAACAATAGTTGATTAATTGTTATTTCTAAAGAGACTTTCTAAGGGGAGAAGGTTTTTAAGCTTCCTCCTTCTGAGTTCATCTAAAGGGCAGGCAGGTGGGTCAAGCAGCAATATGGAGTCTGTCTTGCTAACTAGGGTCCTTCATTCCCCCCTGGTTCTTGTAACTTAATCAAATCTTTGATTCCTGTATTTACTCTGAATTTTTTTAAAAAACATCTTAAAATCTCATAATTTTGTCTCAACACCATCAGTTCAGCTGCATCAACCCTCTGTCTAACATATTTAGTCAGAGCATTTATAATACAAGGTCCCATGAGAAAAAGTAGAAGTAAGATAACTAGGGGGCCTGTTACAGCAGAAACTAGGGTAGTTAATCATTAGCATAGAAGCAACAAGTTTTTTCTAGGGCTACACATAACCCTTTTTGTTTCATGAACAGGAGGTCAAGTCCCCTTTGATTTTTAGGACCATCTCAGCTAGGGAATCAACCTGGTTTTTAAATCTAGAGATCGAGTCTTTCAGGTGACCCAAATCTCTGGCTACTTGGTGGCTTAGGGCTTTATAATTTGTGTCCTGAAGGATCAGGGAGGAAGTTCCAATAGCTGCTGACCCGGATATTCCTAATCCCACCAGAAGGGGCACTAAAATGGGGGCAGCCCGTTGACTCCTATAGTGTTCAGTGGTTAATCCCAGATGTTCGTGGCCCCCTTTTTTATTATAATACAAGACTTGTGGAACAACATACATGGTGACACAAAATAAAGTGTCAGATTGGGTAGCCAAGATTGATTTGCGAATATATTTAGTCAAGTCCTCTGTGCAAACAAACCAAGCATATCAGGACCAGGTCTCCTGGCTTAAAACCGTGGGGCTGGAATGTCGCAAAGGGTTTTTCTAGAGCCTGTTGTATTGTAGCCTGGATCTCACTCTGAAGAATCTGTAAGGCTTGAAGAGACTGAAGTAAAGAGACAAAAGAATCTCTGTTATCTGTTCAAGGTTTAACTTAGGGAGGAGTGGTGGTGGCCTCCCATACAAGATTTCAAAAGGGGTAAACTTGTCAACATATGGTGTACATCTAACTCTTAACAAGGCTAGAGGAAGCAGATCAGGCCACCTACTGCCAGTTTTTAGAACATATTTAGTCAGGGTTTTTTTTAGGGTTCTATTTATCCTTTCCACTTGTCCTGAACTTTGCGGGCAATAGGCACAGTGTAACTTCCAATCGATATGTAGTGCCCTTGCCAACAATTTGGATATCTGTGCTGTGAAGGCAGGATCATTGTCAGACCCCAGGTAATGAGGGATGTCAAATCGGGGAACCATCTCCGGGAACAAAACCTTAGTTACTATGTTGGCTGATTCTCCATGAGTAGGGGAAGCTTCTACCCAACCTGAGTAGGTGTCAACCAATACCAGTAAATATTTGAACCTATTGCTGGATTTTATTTCAGTGAAATCAAGTTCCTAATGTTTCCCTGGCTCTCTTCCCCATAGTCGATTACCTTCGCTCCTTGGTCTTGCCTTGGAGTTTACCTGTGTACACACCTGACACTTGGAACTGATGTCCTGGACCATAGAGGTCAGTCCTGGGATTGAAAATTTAGAGCTCATTAGTCTTTTTAACTTTGAATCTCCCAGGTGAGTTAAGTGATGTAACTGATGAACAAGTTGTCACCCCAGGGCAAATTTGTTCATTTGTCCCTTTCCACCAGCCTGAGTCCAGTTTTGTACTCCCTCACTTTTGATTTTCCTCTTCCTCTTCTGGGGTATATGTGGGTCTTTTGGGCAGGTAGCCAAAGGGTTGGATGGGCAGAATGTCTATGGCCTTGTCTTGACCCAACCTCAGGTTTCAGCCCTTTGTGCCAAAGCCCCCTGGC